ATAAATATATATATATAAAATCTTTCTATCAAGTCCAATCTAGTATCCACCACACTTTGCAGGTGCAATAGACTTATGATAGTGGTCAGATGTGCATTAATGACTTGACTACTCTTCAAGATCAAGCAATGAATGGCAGAGCAATCTACTCAACCAATGTGCCTGCAAATGAAGTGTGTGTGACTGTTTGTGACAGTGTGTGTAAGATTAAGCAGCATCAGATGCCACTTTCCTCAGATGGAAAAATGCCCCACACCCCCACCTTGCTGGGAGATTTTTTTGTCAGTGGGGTAAAAAAAAATCTTTCCTTCATGTCAATGGGTGTAAAACCACTGGACCCTAATGGTGCCAATGAGAGCAAAATGTACCCCATTATAGGTGACAATGGGAGCAAAAATGCTATGGTTGGTGGGGGCATAACGCACTCCCATAGCTGGTGGCAGTGGGAACACTTGCAAGTTTTAAACCTAAAATCTGGGCACAAAACGGTTAATTTAAATACTGGGAAAGCGGTAGGTCCCTCTGCACTCCCTACAGCTTTCCCGGCCCAAATCACAATGGTGGTGCTCGCAGTGATAATCAAGGATGGCGCTGTGCACATCAAGAGTAGAAAGCAGGAATCATCAGCATCATGCCCACATCATTGCCCTGATGAAGGGACCCTGTGCAGCCCCGAAACGTTGGCATTACGTTATTTGTGAAGACTGGTTTGTGAAGAATGGACGTTTATTACTTGAACACTATCTACTGAGTGCTGGTGATTCCTGCTTTCTACATTTAAATACTGGGAGAGCACTATGCCTCACATTGCCTGCGCAGAAAGAAGAGCTGTGGGAGAGACCCAGCAAGCTCCACCCTCTACAGGCTGCCTGCAAAAAAAATACAGGAGGGGCGGAGACAAGACCAGTCACCCTGAACAAGGAGCGAGAACAGCAGTGACTGGTCTGTATTACAGAAAGCTCCTGCACAGAGGAAAAGTTTGACGCTGGATTACTGCACTAATATTTAACTTAATTTCCTTCTAGATTTACATAAAATATATTTTCCACAATTACAAGATGCAGTCATTACACGTTTTGTAGGGATTTCTCACTAACTCTTTCCTTTGAGACTTTGTCTCTCTAACTCTGTACAGGGCAGAGAAGATGGGTATTCAGGCAGTTGAGGTTAGATTTGTCAACGTGTGAAAAGTCTGTCTGTTAGTGATAAACAGGTAAATATTAAATATACAAATATTACACATCTTAAAAATGTAACAATTTTAGCCTTGAACAGAAGAATAAATAAACCCCCAATATACATTACCTTTCACGTGTGGCGCCAGGGATTAGCTGCAGTGATACAAACTTCACCGTAAAACACAGCTGAATAAAGTCTTCGGCATGCAAATCATTGTTTACATGGAAGTGAATGGAAATGTATTTTTGGATTTTTCAGACATTAAAGCACTTGGCACACACAAGTGGGAACTCTATCCTGCCAGCAAATAACGTGTAGATTGGCATACTTACCAGATACCACATGTTAGACCAGATGGGGTCATTAAAGTACATAAGGCTGGAATCTGCTCGAATATGCCTCTTCACCCTTTTCTTCACTTGCTGCTGCTGCATCCACTCTACCTGTAAGGAAGAAAATGAGAAAATCCGCTTTTACACATCCAAGATGATGGCAAAGTAAATGATAAAATACTTGTTTTAAAAAAACTAACTCATAAAAACAGCTATAATTACATTTGTTGTATTACTTTACTAACCATCCACAGTCACACCTTTAGCACACAGCCACGTTATTGCTCTTTATTTGAAAATACAATTGAAATGATAGCAAAAAGATCATTACATTTCTTCATTATTGCAAACTGTACCTCTCACACGTTTAAAATATTATTTGTATGGCATGTGTAAAAGTCTTAGTACTATGATAACATATCTTAGAGTGACACCAAACTCAGAAGTATCCTAACAAAAATGTATCTTATTTGTGTATCACTCGGCTGTAGAGCCTCAAATCATCACCATCTGAATTGGTGCCGACACTGTCCTTCCTTCTGGAGGGGGGCTACTTTTGTTCCCCATGGTCCCTGTGTGTGTTGTAAAGAAGCTACAGCTCCAAGTTCGCTCCTGTGAAAGACTACAGTCTCCCTTTTAGTTTGCCAATTTGTATTTTGAGATTGTAGTCCATCACGGGAGTGAGCTTGGAGCGGAGGCTACTTTACAGCACATGCAGGGACCATGGGGAACAAAACTAACCACCCTCCAGAAGGAAGGACAGTGTCAGCACCAGTTCAGAGATGATTGGAGGATCTACAGCCGAGTTATACAAAACTAGGGCACAGGTTTGTTAATAGTTAATTTACCTGAATGCATTTTTAAGATTGAACTCCTGAGTTTGTCACTTTAAGGTCTTTGAATGCTACAAAAATGCTATAAGCATTCAACAGTTTGCTGCTGAAGATAGCATTTTTTTTGTCTTATGACATCCCTTTACTGTAATATACAATAACGGTGTGAGAATTAAAAGTTATTTCATTGATAAACCTATGGTGCTACTACTTTCAATGGTCATTCCATCCAAAACTGATATTTCAGCTTTTGGTAGATCCCCGAGAAAAAATATATATGGCTAAAGGTATGTGGACTCAAATGATTGAGTTCACGCGTTTCCATTGAAAGCTGTTAATGTTACCGCTTTCAAAAGATATTTTAGACAAATGTGTACATCCAACCTTGGAACAACAGTTTGGTAAAGGCTAGGGATGCACCGATACCGGCCTTTCGGTATCTAGTACCGATATTTTGCGGTGGGTACTCGCCGATACAGAGTACTGATAACGGTGCTTCAGCTGGCATGGAGCCGGCTTCCTGGGCAATCAGGAAGCCGGGCAGTGGGTAATGACATGTCGCCCAGCTTTCCGATTTCCCGATTTGATGCTGGTTGGCCGGGAAGCCCACCAGCCAATCAGCATGAAGTCAGCATCCCGGGCGATCTCGGCTCCATGCCGATTGGCTGGAAAGCCGTCTCCCCATCCAATCAGCATGGAGCTGGCTGTTGGGCCAGCTCGATGCTGATTGCCAGTTCCATATTCCCCTACGGCACTGCCGGATAGATGAAATCATCCTCTGACAAGGAAGTTCCGGTATCGGGGAAGGTATCAGAGCATTTGGGCAAGCACTAGTATCAGTATATCCTTAGTAAAAGGCCTTTTTCTGTGGGGACTGCTCCAGCTTAACTATACTTAAGTGGTTTGCACAGAGCCCTGACTTCAACCCAATTGAAAATCTTCACGATGACTTGAAATGCCGATTACGAGACAGGTTTTCTCATCCAATATCAGTGTCTGACCTAACAAATGCTCTTTTGGCTGAAGGGGCACAAATTCCCACACACACTTGTGATAAGCCGTGTGTCAAACGGAGGCAATTAAAGCCCCATAGTGGTGAGGTAGTGGCAACTCAATATTAATGCCTGCAATTGCTTTGGAATGGGATGTCCAACAAGCTCACATGGGTGTGATGGTCATCTGTCCACAATCATGTAGTATACCTCTCGGGGACGCTCTGATATCTGCCCTAAAGTTTCTGGGTCTGCACACTTGCTGCAGCCATTAAGTTATATTATATTAAATGTAGGATTGTGCAATGTTTATTATATAGCATTTAACAGGATGTTCTGGAACACAAAAAAAAAAAAGGTGGACAGAACACCTAAACTCCCAGGTGGACAAGAACATAGAAGTGAATATGACCGGGAGATCTCCCTGTTCCAGAATTCATGACATACCACCAGCTTCCACCTGAAAATCAATTATCACTCTTGGATGGGCAAATATATATCGGAAGTAACAAATGTATGTGCAACATAGCAAGTCCCTGTTCACACATGGGTGGTTTGACTTCAGCATGACAAAACTTTTAACACAAAAAATCCTATTCATTTATATGGCCCCTTTCCGCATCTGGGTGCTTACGGGCTGTAAGCTGCATTCAGGCAGCTTACAGCCCGTTTGGCCGCATAAGACTTCAATGGAAGCACGTGAAAACGCACAACACAAGAGGTTTGCACATTTCTGTGCACGTTTTTACGCATTTGTGTTTATGCTTGCTCATTCAGCGCAACGCATTTCAATCTGCTCAATAAAATGTGTCTTTGTATATGCCTATCTAACACGTGTAAAAATGTGCGAAACCATGTTAAACACGCTAGATGGTAAACTTCAACAAAACGTGCGCTATATGCTCGAAAACGCTGACACCTAGGTGTTAACGGAGTCTAAAACGGCTTTATCAGAAAAAGAGCAGGAGCAATGATAAAGAAGGAGACCTCACCTCTGAGGTTCCAAAGAAATATCAGAAAGCAGCAGCCAATTAAATTGAATTTTGTGAGGACACCGTGGGATCACTTTGGGACACGCTACAACAGCATATCTTATATATACTGGTATGTTATGTCACGAAAAGGGAAATTAAGTCACCATATCACACTTTCTGAAGCTGATTAGATGCATCTTTACCCTATTAGCATTTATTAAAACAGACTTAAACTAGAAAACTGTAAATCTCCTTTCCTGTAGTGTTGCGGATATATCTGCCTACACAGACTGCACTGAACACCATAATGAATAGTACATTAAAAAAAAAAAAACATGTATAAAAATATATTTGGCGGTAAACATGCATTTTTTTAATTCAGCTACATTAATCAAATTACAGATAAGTGATTTAAAAGAGCAGTTCCAGGATGCACACGTTCGAAGAAACTCTAAAAGAGCGTTCATTCTATAGGATGTTCACTGGGCTTTTCTGCAGCCTCTTTTCACATGATTCCATACAAATACCTCTATATGAGCTAAAACATGTTTATTCTTATAATCTGCATTTTTACATCACATATGGAGACCTTCATAAAAAAAGAATGGCAGAAATTAGCAAGCACAACAAAAAAAAAAAAAGTTACAAAAGATTTATGAAAAACTAGAGCCACTCTGCAGGCAGGCAGTGCTTCCTTCCTTTGCTTAAATGCAAATTTTCCATGGTTGACCGATTCTACCTTTAAATGTAAATGTATGAAGCTCTTAATTGGTTGCCAACTGATCCTGGAAGGTGCGAGCAGGAAAATAACAGAATTATATAAAATTATTAGAGGGTTATCTCTAGTGCTTGCAGCTTCTACTGCAGGCAGGAGGCAGCGAGGAGACTAGCGTTTTCTGCTCATTGTTAGTTACTGTCATGTGCATGTGAACGGGAGCAGATGATGGGCAGCCAAAAGGAGAATCGCAATCATTCTCAATATGCAACCTTAGATTTGTTCTTGCAGCTTTGTTACAGGAATGCCCTGGCATTTGGATCATGTAGGTCGGGTCATTTCTGTAACACAACCCAATAAAAGACAATGCAAATTAGGTACAGATACTTTTCCAGCTCCGAGACTAGACTAGAGAAAAAAAAAATCAAAAGTTAGGAGGCAGCTGTCATTTTTAAAGAGCATACGAAGCTCCTGGGATTTGTGCATCCCTATTTTGATCATTTTTTTTTTTAGAAATATATATAAGGGATGCAGCGATACCATTTTTTCAAGTACAAGTACCGATACTTGTCCAAGTACTCACAGATACAAGTACTGATACATTGTTTATTGTCATCATGTGACAGTTTTTCTAAAACAATACAGACTAATGATTTCAGGACGGTGGTGGAGCGCCAGAGCTAGGTCCCGGCTGCAACCGCAACAACCCTTGTAGCTTTCGTTAAAATGTCAAGTATTGGCACTAGTATCTGAACATCCGTAATGCAAATCTAGCTAAGACACATGTTGGTTTCAAAGCTGATGGTTAAACAGCATAGTACTTTTTTGAAATAAAAGCTACAAATATATGGTTTCCGACTGGGGAGAACCTTAAATTCCAGGTGTATTTTAACCCATTAATATGGCCTTAAGTAGCCTACAGTTCAATGCCCTATAGGACTGGGACAGAGCATAGGGTGACGGGAGGACGCTAGTGTCCTCCCGTTACCCTAAGGAGAACTATGGGGAAAAGCCTTAACCCCATAGTTCTCCTTTAAAGTCACAGAAATATATATAGTCTGTATATAGTGTGACCTGGTCACACCTCAACCCCCCCCCCACCCCCTTCATTCGGCATAAAGGTCTAAAGGTCAGTGTTAGGACATTTGTGATGAGTGGTCTAAGTATTACTCAGCTATGACAGGGCAGAGCGCTGGAGTGGTAGAGCAGGAAGCATATTTGCAGGTCCACAAGTGGCAAATCAGTTATTCATATGGCAGTACAAGAATAGATGAATGAATAGGTGTCAGAGAGCTGAGCTAGAATAGTATTGCTGTATATTAAAAGATGGTTCCATAACTGCCAATCTAAACAATCATCAGATATCCTGAAAAAAAAATAGGCGAAAGATCGATATAAAGAAAGAAAGATCAGTGAGACTCAACCTTGCAACATTTAATAAAGCAGATATCCTTCTGGAGGGTGGTTACTCCTGTGATGGACTACAATCTCAATGCAAATTAATAAACTAAGCATGAGATTGTAGTCCATCCCGAGAGTGATCTTGGAGCGGTGACTACTTTACAACACACACAGGGACCATGGGGAACAAAA